CAGCCTGCGTGACAAAACAAGACCCTGTCTTTAAAAAAAAAAAAAAATCTCCTGGAGTTAATGTTGCCAGAGCCCCTATTGCTTAGTGTTTAGGTTATTTTCAGATTTTGCTGCTATACGTGATAATACGATGAATATGTTCATGCATTTTATTTCTTTCTTCTTTGAATTATTTATTCAGAATAAATTTGCAGGGGTGGAATGAATGGATCAAAGTGTATGAACACTTTAATGGCTCTTGGTACATATTGTCAAATCGCCATATTTGTATTTTACACAGTTCCTCAGTAGTATGCTAGTAAATGTTTAACAACATGCTTGCCCCCCCGCGCCCCGAAAAAAAAAAGGTAGGGAGCCTGATTTACTGTGTTTGCTGATTTTCACAGTGTAAATACTTTTACCATAGCCAATTTCAAGCCACCAACATGACATCGCTGAATGCAAAATTGAAAAGAGATGCTCAGATAGCACATTATAATACAGCATTTCCATAATACAGATAAAGAGAAGTCAGTAACTTCAGTGGCTTGGAAAATTTCTGAAAATATGACAATCAGCACTTGTAAGCGAGCCTGTTCTAGAACACCACTGTAAACATCTCCCTTGATATTTTGCAAGAGCACATCTTTTTTTTTTTTTTAATTGAAATCATTGAAATTTCACCCTGTTCCCATCTGTGTGACAAACAATGAGCATGCTTTTAGGTCCACAGATGATACAAATAATGAACAAAATCTAATGCAAAAAAAAGGGGGATAGAGTGAACATCTAATGCCTGTCTGGGTTGAATAATTCCGTCTACCCACCCTCAAGCATTCATTTTACGGTGTTTTTTCCGTGAGATCATGTATACAAACGATTCGATCATTTGTTTACTTAACGAGGCACTGAATGGATGACTATATGTAGTTCTCAGGCAAATGTGATGAGACCCGTATCTTCTGTTTCTTAACCACTCTCTTCCTTGGTTTTCTTTTCTACGAAATGAGGAAGAGGTCACTGTGACTTCTGTTTTATGAGAAACTGAGTGCAGAGATAAGAAAGGTTCAACTTATGCTCTGAGAAACACTTGAACATTTAGCAATGCTCTGGAAATTTCTTCCAAAAGCAATTCATTAGCATTCTATTTTACCAGAAAAGAATGTGATTTGGCACTTTCTTGCTTGAAAGCAGCTTCCCCTCTTTGGACTGCCCCGGAATAATATGTAGCTTCTAGATGTATACAACACTTTGGTTTTTAAATTAGTGGCGCCCTATGTTTGCATGTCAAAAGGTAGGTAGGACTGAGCTAAACATCCTCACACCTTTGACCCAGTCACCCCACTCCCAGTAACTCATCTCAAGGAATAAATTCAAAACAAAGGAAAATACTTTCTGTGTAAAAATATTAATCACAATAGAGAATAGATCAATTTGCCTCATTTCAGCACTATTCAACTTACAGTTTCTGGGTCCCTGGTAGGACAGTTCTGGATTCCTGGTTCCTAAATCCCCACCTGTAAAACGACCACTTTCCAAGTTGTTTTAGGGCTTGCATTTTTTAATCACACAGATTCCCGGATCTCATGTGAGGGTTGGGATATGAGACATGGAATTTCAGTTTCTTAAAAGCTCCCCAAGTGGTTTTGCTGTCCAGCCAGCTTTAGAAACCACTATTCCACACTGAAACAGCAGGCACATGATCATTATCGCTGAACAACTGTCCACATCCCGGCAACAGCATGAGAACTTCTTGTGCAAGTCGTCAAAAGGTTGTTCAAGGCATTCAAGCAGTTGCTAGAGTGAAACGGCTACAGAGCCACGGAGGAGCCCTAAGTTTCAGGCACCCTACCACCCCCCTGGGTCATCCTTTCCATCTCTGACACCCTCCTTGCTCTCACTGCCCACCCCAGCCCCCCACTCTGTCATGCTGCCTCCCAGCCTCCACCTGTGCACCCCATCCTGACTTGTGCCCATCCCTTTTCATACACAAAGCTCCAGAGTCTCCTCCCTTAGGACACCAGTGGGACTCTAGAAGGAACACTACCACCGTTTGACTCAAGTCATCTGCGCACATAATTAGGAATCCCCTGCACAATTAACACACCAGGTGGATTTCCATTTTTTATAGGAGGCTTTTAATCCAAAAAATATTTATAACCTAGAGAGTGGAATGGGGAAGCAGGATGCTTTTTAATCTTGGCTTTCACCTAGATCCAAGCATCCTGAACCCAAATAAGCACTTAATGCCACAACGATCCCCACTCGTAAGTAGAAATGGAATTGTAGTTGTGCTTTGTTAGCACCAAAATTAACACATTGTAAGATAGAATAATTTAATTTAAACTGGGCAAGGAAGAAAGGTCGCGCTCTCTGCCTCTAATGAAAATCACCTCTAGAATTCCACCCAAGCATTCAGAGAGCAACATCAAACAAGGAGGCCCACAAGTAATGCAGCAGCTACTCAGAGGACCTCTCTCATGAGCTAGAGAAACTGTTACAGAAAGGCTTAAAATAGCAGTTTCCAAGCTTGTTTTCCTTTCTTCATATGTATTCCCACTAGAAAAACATCCAACCCTGTGCCTTGTCCATATTTGGTGCTCAAAAAATGTTAATTCCCAGTCTCCACCTGTCACCCCCCACTTTCCCTGGAAAGGAATGTTGGGATTAGGAGAACGTTGGGATTTGCAGGCTTCTTGCTCTTAAGCCAGGGCTCATAACACCTTCATTTATGTCAATAGCCAAGTCCTTAAGAAGAATCATAAGAGTTGTATCTATTGAGAGATTTTTTTTTTAATTAGGCACTAGGCTACATGCTTTACATGTTTTATCTCATTTGATCTCTGCAACAACTCTCTGAGGTAGGTATTTTCAGTTATTATTAGTGTTATTTGAGTTATTTTGTGAATTTTTTTAAAAACTCTGAGCACTGGCTGGGCGCGGTGGCTCACGCCTGTAATCCCAGCACTTTGGGAGGCCGAGACGGGCGGATCACGAGTCAGGAGATCGAGACCATCCTGGCTAGCACAGTGAAACCCCGTCTCTACTAAAAAATACAAAAAAATTAGCCGGGCGAGGTGGCGGGCGCCTGTAGTCCCAGCTACTCGGGAGGCTGAGGCAGGAGAATAGCGTGAACCTGGGAGGCAGAGCTTGCAGTGAGCTGAGATCCGGCCACTGTACTCCAGCCTGGGCAACAGAGCGAGACTCCGTCTCAAAAAAAAAAAAAAAAAAAAAAACTCTGAGCACTGAAGAAGTGAAGTAACTTGTCTGAGGTTCCCACAGCCCAGAAATGATGGAATGGGGATTCAATGCAAAGCGATCCGGTTCAAAAGTTGGGTTCTTATTCACCATGCTGTATGTTTGTTATTAAATGGGTTCAGATATTTTATGGTCCAGAAAAATAGTGTCTGAATTATTACGATCTACTGACTCTCTAAACAACGTCCAGAAAAAGAACAGAAGCATACCCGTGCCATCTCATTTAGACATGCAAAGAAAGTAACACGTATTTCATGGAATTTGGGGACTGGCTTTTGAGGAATAGAGACTTGCTTATCATTCATCAACCAACTCGTCCTCCCAAGAGGAAGACCACTTTAATTCCCGGATAATTGAAAGGCCTCCTTAAAATGTAGAAACCAGAGGTGGAGGTCTTACCTGTACCCCGAGCCACACGAACCTTTCTCTGCGTAAATGATGTCCCAAGGGAAGACAGTAGAGGGCAAATGGAGGCCCACAGTCAGGTGTACGGATGCAGAAAGCAGCCCCAGTGGGAAGAGGCCACACTCGACAAGCTTCCTCTCACGTGGAATTCTGCTAGTGCCGTGAGAGCCGAGGAGGCACAGCCCAGGGCAGAGGGAGACCAGTGACTATTGAATGGGGTCACTTCTCCCCAGTGCCTGCAAGGTCCTCCCTTTTGCGTCCACACCCTAACCGTCTAATCTGATTTCCTGCAATGTGTAAAACAAACTATCTTCTCTTCTCCAGTGTCTCTTCAACTGGCCTTATCATCTCCACGTCAGCCTCGCCTTTGTGCCTTTGCCCACAAGGTCCTCCTAGTCTGAAATCACCTTCCCCTTCTTCTTCTACCAACACTTCGCATCCTTCCAAAGCCCAGATCTTCCCGACGACTCCAGTTTGCCCCCAGACCACCTCCACAGAATTCACAGAACTCTTCAAGCCTGTGCTCCCCACTCATCACTGAATTCTCATCTTGCACTGCTTCCTAAATTTTACTTCTTATCACGACTACTAGATTATACGGCCCTTCGAAGTAGAGATTTTTAAAATATTTTTCTTATATCCTCCACAGCACCAGCTTAGAACCAGTAAGGGATCACCAACTACTTGTTGCCTGCTTGAATACTTCAATGGCAACTTTCATTTAGTAAAGCACCTAAAACCGGTGATTTCCCAAACTTTGTTTAGTTACAACTCAGGCTACTGACTGGTACCTCATAGCATATCTCCAAATCAAACCACCTCAGAAGAAAAATTAAATTTAATTAAAAACTACATGTTATACATCACAGAGCACTTTTGGGAAATGGACATTAGCATTGGCAAGAGGTGAAAAACACAAGCTAGAAGTTCCAGATTGAAATCTACATCATTTAGAATTTCGGTTCTGTTTCATTTCTGAACTAGACAACTTTAAAGTTCAGATTTGCACAACTTAGTCTTTAGATTTACTTCATCAAACCTTGGGTAGTATTTAAACTACCCATACAGTTGAGCCCAGCCACAGTCAGTCACAAGCATATGCATTCTCTAGAATATCTGGAAAATCAAAAAGCCAACGACTGTAACTTTTAATGTTTCAAAAATCTTGTTAGGACTGTGGTGAGGGGCACTGAATATCAAAGCAACACCCCCCGTCCGTCCCACTATGAATTGGTTCTACACCTTACAGCAGGTAGATCAGAGTCGTTACAACGTTTGGCCTAGAGTAAAAGCTAAACAAAATTAGAAAAATTTCTTTTGACACCAAAGAAATACTTTCAAAGAAGCAAAATCCTTACCTGTTGCAGAACGCCGAAGGAATTTCTTGACAGTAAAATGACTGACTCCGGAAATCAAATTTGTTCAGCAAAAGGATGTGAAAACAAAAGCGGCCCAAGCCTTTTCACTGTGGTTGATTTCCTCCTAGGATTAACCTCTCCCTCGCTCCCGAGAACATTAACTGGTTTACACTAGAAGAACTAAAAATACAAGAGTTGGGCTGGCAGGGAGTCCACCCCAAGATGGCTGGGTTTAGTGTGCGTGAGGCAGCAGGAGCAATCCGAATGTGACAACAGAGATTAGCAAGTTCCTGTGCCTAAGTCAGTTTCCTGTAGCCGGCTTCTCCGCAGAGGGGGTTTCATTTGTGTGGGTTTAGGGGGGTGTGTGTGCACGTGCGTTTCTCTCCATTAGAATATGAAACTTCCCCAGATCAGAGGCAGAATAAGGCCTTTGCTGCACCGCTGGGTTTGCGTTGAATTTATCTCCCACCCCACTCCGAGACTGTATTTCTCTCCCGCTTCGCCCCATTTTCCTCCAGCAAAGCCCTACGTAAAACTGAAGAATGGAAGACCGAAGAGTCCAAATGATTCCTCATGGAAGTAAAATTACAAAAAAAAAAAGTCCATGCCACTGATCCGTCTTGGTTAATCTGGGCTTAGGAAACAGCACCTTAGAACTTCCCTCACATCAGCTCGGGGAAAACAGGAGGTGGGTTGTCTGCCTTGCTTTGCTGCATTAAAAACTATCAAATAATATTTTGCAAAGAACAGGCTTAGTAAGAGTTCAAGCAGCCCCCGCCGTGCGTTCACCCCTGTGTGGATGGGCACCTGGGCTGGGAGGTACCTGGCGATGAGTTGCTTTTTCAGACTCCTCAGAGTTTCATTATTTGCCTAAAAACACAAGTTTACTTGTTTTGTCCTAATGGGCAATCCAGGTGTAGAGACCATCTGCAACTACTTAAGTTATGGCTAAACGCCTAACCCAACAAATGGAACTTTCGTGATGTGGTCACACCCCCCTGTGCCCCGAATCCCTGAGTAACTGTTGATGCTACCGCTCACAGTGATAGCTTGGTCAAAACACCTGCCGGCCATAAGGATAAAATCAACTCCATGCCTTTTATTTTATTTTATCAGTGCATCGGCCCCACACTCAAAGATTTGAGTTTAATTGGGCTGGGTGGGGACCGGACGTCAATATTATTTTAAACCCCTCTGATTATTCTAAAGTGCTGCTGCCACTCTAATGGATGAGAAGGAGGAAAGAACATTCCAAGCAGAGGCGAACAGTACATGCAAAGGCCCTGAGGTAGGAAAGAAGTTGGCATGTTCAAAGAAGTGAAAGCAGATGACTGTGCTTGCAGCACAGTTGTAGAGGGAATCAATGGTACGAGGAGAGCATTCTTATCAATAGACACACAATTACCAAGTTCACAAGACTTTCATATGAACCCAAGTGCCAATTTGTTGATGCATAGTAAGAACTCAATCTGCCAGCTGAGATCCTTGAGCCTTCCGAAGAGCACATTATCTTCTAGAAAATCCTCTGTGGGAGGCCAGGTGTGGTGGTGGTGGCTCACACCTATAATGCCAGCACTTTGGGAGGCCAAGGGGGGAGCACTGCTTGAACCTAGGAGTTCGAGACCAGCCTGGGCAACATAGTGAGATCCCATCTCTACAAAAATGTAAACATTAGCTGAGCAACCACACCCGTAGTCCCAGCTACTCAGGAGTCCAAGGCAGGATTGCTTGAACCCATGAGGTTGAGGTTGCAGTGAGCTGCGATCCACCACCACACTCCAGCCTGGGGACACAGCAAGACTCTGTCTCAAAAAGAGAGAGAGAGAGAGAACGAGACAGAAGAAGGGAAGGGAAGGGAGGGACGGGAAGAAAGAAAAGAAAGAAAGGAAAGAAAGGGAAAATCCTCTGTGGAAAGCCAGATCACCATGGTGATGTTATCCGCTGAGCAGAACATAAGCTTGTGGACACTTTATTTACTTCTGGTTTTGTTCATCAAAGGATTTAGAGCATCTTGCAAAAATACTTACACCTTAGCAAAATGAAACAATTAAAAACAAGAAATATGAAAACGAGGCCAAGAGAAGTGAAGACAAAAGCGACACTAAAACCGGGGTAAGGTTAATTACAGAGAATGTATGCCATGTGGCTCTACGCTCTTCAGCAACAGGTATGAAGCAGGAACTACCACCACCCAGAAAACTCTTTGCCCACGGAAGAAACATAAACAAAGAGCTCAGAACCATGAGGCCTCCCTGGCTCCCCAGTGCTGAGATTAAAGAGGAACTCTGCCCCCTGGATTCCCAGAGAGAGACAACATGGCTGAAGTGAAACACCATGTTTAGACTCCACGCAGCCAGCCACAAGTCTGTGAGGTGGTTCCTTACGCTTTTCCTCCATGTATGCTGATTGCATCTCACCAAAGAGTTCACTAAAAGCAACTCCAGGGCGTGCGGCGGGGAGAATGCAGCAGGAGATTAACAGAGTGTGCCATGCCACAACACTGCTTTGATGTTCCAGTTTTATCCAGAGATGAAAAATGACTTCATGGGCCGGGCACAGTGGCTCATGCCTATAATCTCCACACTTTGGGAGGCCAAGGCAGGCGAATTGTTTGAGCCAGGAGTCCAAGACCAGCCTGAGCAATATAGCGAGACCCAGTCTCTAAAATAATAATAATAATAATAGGCAGAGTGCGGTGGCTCACGCCTATAATCCCAAAACTTTGGGAGGCCGAGGAGGGCAGATCGCTTGAGGTCAGGATTTCGAGACCAGCCTGGTCAACATGGTGAAACCCCACCTCTACTAAAAATACAAAAATTAGCCGGGCATGGTGGTGCATTCCTGTAATCCCAGCTACTCAAGAGGCTGAGGCAGGAAAATTGCTTGAACCCGGTAGGCAGAGGTTGCAGTGAGCTGAGATCACACCACTGCACTCCAGCCTGGGCAACAGAGACTTTAGCCTAAATAATAATACTAATAATAATAATAAAGAAAAATGATTTCAGATATGCTTCAGAAAATTCAGGATAAAAAGTTTGTCTCATTCAAGTTTCTAAAAGATTTAAAGAGGCAAAGAGTTCAAAACTGGTTGCCCCTCCAACAAGAGATCCAGTGTCCTTTAAGGGGGACACTGTCTCCCCTTCAGAAAGCAGAGGAGTCACACAAGGACAGCTTCCTGTACGGACAGACCCCCTCCATCTCCTAAGTAGAAAGGGAGGTGAGGCTCTGCCCTTTGGGAAACAAAGCTAGAAACGCCACCAGCATGATTTATCACGAGCTCCAGGCCTCAGGCCTTGTACCATTATCTGCACGAAAGTGGAGACGTACTCCAGAGTCGGGATGGACTGGGTGTCCTCAGGCACAAGCACTCCCATCCCATCCTGGAAGGGACTAGGAAGGGCACTGTCGTGCCTGGCTGCGAGACCCCTGTCCCTTTCACCCCATGGCTGACCATCCTTCTGCATCCGAAGAACTGGCTTTCTGTGCCTGGAATTGCCAGTTTTAGATGATCTAGTACAGTCCAGCACTGGGCTTCCTCCTACTCCTGACTTACACACCTCTAATCTTCACACAGTTTAATCTCAGAGAGGATTTTCTTAGACAGAGGGGACAGGGGGTCGCCATCTAATTTTCTTCCTTTCTTGAAAACGTCTTTTTGGTGTCTCTCTCTCTCCCCACTCCCCTCCTCCCCCACCCCGCCCCTCCTCTCCTCTCTCTCTCTCTCTCTCTCTCGTTCTCATTCTTTTAACAGACTTTTAACCGACAGGGGTAGTGGTGAGAGGAGGAAGCAAATGCTGAAAATACATGCACACATTCACAGACACACACGCACCCGAGCCCCACAGCGTGTCCCTTCTGATGCTGTGTGGTCCGTCCTTGGGATGGGGTAGGGGGAAATCCTGGGGACTTCAGAGTGGCAGGAGGAAGGAAACCATGGGTCCGCAGTCCCTAACTGGGACTCAGAGGCCCCCTCTGAGCCATCTTCCAGGAAGCCATCTGCAGCCACCACCCATCTCCCCTGCAAGCCCAGTGAGGTGCCCTCCCAGGGGCTCCACAGCACGTTGTGTTAACACGGCCGGAGCACTCACCAAACGGCCCTGTGGTGTTCACTTCAGACGTCCCAGGGCTCGGGGTCCAGCCTTGCTCACTCAGAAATCCCAGGCACCGAACAGTCATTCAACAACCGCTTTCTGACCAGTAGATTGATTCTCCCATCTCACAGCCTCACAGCTGCCCTTTACAGTAAACACTTTAAACCCTATTTTAACAGCCAAGGAAACAGAGACTTCAACTGGTTAAATGATTTGCATAAGACCCTATGGCCTACGAAAACCAGAACCAAGATTCACCCCATTCATCTGTCCTGGCCGGTCACTCCCGCTGCCGCCCCACAGAGAGAACTGAACCAGCGCGGGCAAGGAGGAGCAGCCAGAGCCCCGAGGCCCAAGGCCCATTTTCTTGGCCCTAAACATGCCCCCTCCAGGATTCTCTGTGCAAACGGTCCCAGTCAGGTCAAGGTGAAAAAGCAAAGACTTACTTTCTCAAAACCACCTGCATCAGAAATGTTCTCTGACATGGCAAAAGAACAGCTTACTTTTACTTTAATAGTCTCCTGTGAACAAAGACCTCTTTTACTGAGGTTTTTAAAATAATATGACAACTACCTGTGTACCCTGAACTCATGCATAAGCACTATGTTTGCTCATTGCAAAGCTGTTATGCCACTTACACCAGCGAAAACTCTTAATGACAATTGTAATTGTATGAATAGTAAATCTTAGAAACCTTGAGACATGATTCATCTACTAAATAATTTCAACGCTGGGTTAGTGAGATGCCTTTGCCTCCCCCTTGCTATTAGCATATTAACTGAAATGATTTAGATTCAGTGGGTAGCTTTTAATGTTTACACAGACCCTCATTTATGCCACCTAATAAAATATTTCAGTGAGTTGTGAAGATAGGTAATATGTACTAAAACCTTGTCTGAAGGCTCTGAATTTCAAACCCAGGCCATTAGTCATATTGCAATTATTCTCACCCAGTTCCCCACTGGATGATGAACAACTGTATTAAAACAAAATATCCTTTCTTTCTGATTGAGAGATTTCATGATGAGAACTATAAAATGTTAAGAGAATGATCTTAATTCTGATGTAACTTTTAGTGTAAAAATACATTGATATAAAATACTTTCTAAATTCAGAATATTGAAATAGCTTCAAAATGCCACAGGCTAGAAATCTCATGGGTGATTTCCTCTTTATGCATTTTAATTAATTGTAAAAAACAAAAAACAACAAAAAAAAAAAACCACCCTGCCTAACCAGATAATAGCATTTGAAACATCTTCTAGCTTCCCTCTTATTGCCATAACCATAAAAACACCATTTCCCCTGCTGTTATTCTCATCATTTATTTTCTCTTTAAATATGTTAATGTATCATAACATATTGCTTTTTGTTTCAGTGAATATTTTGTTCTCAGGATTCTCAACTGCCATGTTTATTCTGGTTTGTTTGCCCTGGATAACTGTGTTGATCTAGCAAACATTCACATCCTGGTTCTTTTTATTGCAGAGCCATAATTCATAAGAAGACAGGGTCTTGTTGTGGAAGATGATAGCATCCGAAGTGATAATTCAAGCTGTGGCTCTAAAGTTATGATACACCTTTTTTTAAAAAAGCCTGTCAGAGCAGAGCAAATGTAGTCAAATGACCGTTTCCCTTCAAAGCAGTCCCTCGATAGTTGATGCACTTTTGCAACATCGCAGACATTAGTCAAAGTGCATTTAGACCCTTTTTACAATATCCTTGAGAGACAGCTTAATAAACTACAAAACAAAACCAGTATCTCTGCATTCTGTTCACAACTTGTTTTTGACTCAAAATAGTACCTGGCTTTTTAACCCACCTTATTCACTGGATGTAGCTCCGAATGGCTGTCTCCTAAAATCAAATCCACTCTAAAAGGAAAAAGATTTTGCCATCATTGACAAAGTTTTTAAAGATTGTGCTGCAGGCCCTGGGAGTGAGTCCAGAGGAGGAGTTTAAAATGTAGTGTTAGTAAGAGCAGTATCTTTGGGTCAAGTGCCCGCGCTCCTAGGGAATGACTGCAAAGCACAGGACACGCACAGTGATGTAGAAATTCATCAGCGGGAGGAGTGAAGAAGAAGGTCATCACTGCTTCTTCTCAAACTTGTGTCTTACTCATTGCATTGATAGGGATCTTCAGTTTGAGCACAAACATCACAGGGTAACTGCAACCCAGCACATCTGCTCACAGCGGGTGCTGCAAACATTTCAGTTGTGAGGCAGGGCAGACCGAGTGTTAACTTGCCATCTTTTCAAAATAACAGATCTCCTCGCTGTTCTGTAGGGAACAGGTTGAAGCTTACACTAAAAGGCAATCTGAAATTTTGGAGAAATACAAATTTGGATTCAGACAAAACAAGATGCAAATCCTGGCTCCACTTATTACTAAAGATGAGACCCTGATCTGCCCATCTGCAAAACAGGTATAATATCTAACTTGGAAGAGGTTTATTAAAAAAAAAAAGAAAAGAAAAGAAAAA